TTCCTATTCAGAATTTTGTGTTGGCCTTTTTATGTAAGGCCATGATATATGAGTAATACCAATAGTGTTTACAAGCAGGAAGACTCTTATATGATAGGTGCATTGAAATTCTTCATTTCCTTTGTACAGATCGAATTTTGTCTACGAGCGTTTGAGTAAATGATCTGTTTGTATGTGCATGATGTTCATTAGCTTTAAACTCCGACCTATTTTTCTTTTTACAAATTTAACATTTTATATCATACGTGAGGCAACATCTTGAGTGGTGCTTCAACCCGTTGGGTTGATGGCGCTTTTTATGCACCACTTTTGTTTCCAATAAAGTTTGTTGTTGTATTTTACCGCATTATCACATATGTATGTTGTAACAATGTTGTGGCTGGGAGACCACTGTTTTGTAATCATTTATTGAATTGCATTTCTGGTCAAGCTTTCCATGATTCTGTTATGTTTCCTAGCCAAATTCTTTGGTAATTGTTTTTATAAATGGATTTCATTCTTCGTCATTTAATAAATGACAAGATTTTTACACTTAACATGTCTTATGTCATGTATTTTGGAAACAAACAGAGCTGCTATGTTGCCTTGGTCTGCCGGTAAAGTTTTAACATAAATGTATTTATAGAGGTATAATATTTTTTCAACAAAAGACGACAACTGAGTTCTTTGTTTGCATGGAAAAAGAGGCTCAAGAATTGAATGTCAGAATGTGGGGCACTTGCTCATTTAATATTTGATCTGCCATCTTATTTTCAATGCAATAAACCGCAAGAATTTGCTAAACTGTAATTTTATCCAGTCGAGTACCGATAATAGATTTATACTCTCCAAATGATTTATTGATAGCTTGCGATTGTTTGACGTCTCCTCTACGAAATGCTTTGCCCTAATATTATATAGGCATACTTGGAGAAAAGATTCTTTGCATCAGTTTTTCTCACTACCAAAATCGTGATATGCAGATTCCTGGCGATACCAAGAGGAATTGAGCAGAAGTTTTTTTCCAGATATCTCACAAAGTATTTAGAATTTTGAGATATATCAAAATAACAAAGCTGTTGAAAATCTCTATTAAAATCTACTGATTTCATCAAAATACGCCATGGGACGTCACTTTCGGATATTGCCTATTTTTTTGTCGTTTTTGACATGTTTTTGGGAAATATTTGTCACTTGAAACATGAAATCTATTTTTTCGTCTCACGACATCACTTCCGGTCAAACAGAATGTAGCAAATAATGGCTTTCTTTTGCAATTTTTAACATAGATTTGGAATTTTTAAATCATAAGAGACGTCATTTCTCTCTCTCTCTCTCTCTTTTTAAAAAGAAAAGTGACTTTCGGTCAAACAGAACGGAAGATCTACTCGTTGCTTTGCAAAGAGCTTTGTTCTAGTTTAATTTTTTTTTTATTTTACAGATTACACAAGAATTTACAAGCGTCATTTATATAAACAGTTTTTATACACAAACTGCACAGCCTAGTCCGAAGTCGCGCTAGATTTATAACGCCGTCATATATCGAAATCTCAATGAGTAGTAAATTCGAATTTGTACACGGTTGAAAAATATATTAAATACTAATCTCAGATGAATATACTAAAATACATTTTAATAATTTTGAGCTATTTAGCAAATGCACTCTCGCCCACCATTGAAATAACTATTTCAATAGTGGTAACTTACTATGTTTGCTATTGAAATGCACGCTTAACTACTATTGATATAGTTATATCGATAGTGGTCGTTTCAATAGTGGTTACTAACTATGTTTGCTATTGAATTGCACTCTCAACCACTATTGATATTATTATTTCAATAGTGGTCGTTATTTCAATAGTGGTTGCAACATCCCACTTAATTTGCTGTTTGTTTTAAATATTTAAAATAACCTTGATCCCTTTGCTTCAGAGAAAGTTTAAAACTTTAAAATAATTTTCTTGCTATATGAACTTTCAATGCCAGAAAAATCATATTTTATTGGTGCAGAAAGGTCAAATAATTGATTATGCGAAGGACTTTTTAAAATAGACCCAGAGTTCATTTTGTTTCATGCTCAATTGGATAAAAATATTAGAGGAAAAACGTCGAAGATGAAAGTTAAAAATAAGGACACAAATATCATTGCAAAGGGGTCAAAATAAATGTACCGTAGTGCCAAAAGAAGGACACTGATCCCCATTTTTATGTTCGTCGAGCTTAAGCTCTATGCACATCTAGCTATAAGGAAATCTGACTGCTCACTGTTTTCTTCATGCGACAAAAAATATAGTACTCAAACCAAGACTTTCATGAATCTGGCGTAGGAATATACATGCCAATTTTTGCGTTTGTTCCATAAATTGATTGAAAATCAACAAAGGCAACAGTCTTGTAGATAATTGCCAACTCATACACTTTCCTCGGATTACTTAACCTACTTTTTTAATGACATTACGGGTCATGCTTATCACCCATTTTGCGGATTAGGCTCTTAAATTAGGTTGTACTTTTAACATCCAGTTACAACCCAAGCTTCATATACGTAATCAATGCCGATGGCTATGTGCAGTAGACCAGTAAATAATCAGTACAGGAGGCGTAAACAATTAACTGGGATTGTTTTGACGAATCAAAATGTTTTACAATCGCAGCACTGTTAAGGCGGGGCCTAATAAGTACGGGAAATGTTTACTGTGGCGTCACACATAATATAAGGTCTTCAAAATACCACAAAATGAAATTATTTGCTATTTCAAACAGCTGGTAAGCTGCATACTATATACAGACTTTCTATTACATGCAGTTTTGTCGTTTGTTAAATCTCACACTACAGTAAATAAACGATGCATTGATCACAATGCACTTGTCAGTGTGACGTCATCTCGCAAAAATGACGCAGTTTTTACACAGTGAGAGGCTGATCAAGTCACATTTTGTACAATGAAAAATGTCTTTTGTTCACAAATAAAATATTATTTGCAGTAAAATAATAAGCCATTAACTTGGATGCGATGTATATTTTAGTATTTTATTCATAAACTCCATTCATCTGACAAGCGATACTGTTGTGTGTTTGTATGCAGATTCACTGAAAAAGTAATGGAAGGGCCCTAATAAATCGATTTATTGCAAGGGCATACCCTCAATGTATCCTGTCAAAATTTTACACATAAACTCAAGAAGCATTAAGATATTTGAAAAGTGCTGCGAACCTCTTGAAATCTTGCAAATAAATTAATTATCGCTATATTTAATGAAGTTGACCAGCAAAATATTCAACCTGCCGTCCAACAAATTAAATTTTACCAATTAAAAAAGGGAATCTATATAGGTTTGCAGCACTTTTCACAAACTACATATGGTGTTGAAAAGGATTATAAAATAAACTAAGATTTTTAACTTGGTTATGCCCTTGCAATATTGAAATTTATAGATGACCTCTACACTGCAAGTATAATTGCCAAAATCATGTAACATCAACATTATATGACAAGTCTAAATAAAAAATCTAAATGTCTCTAACATGTAGATTTAAACCACATTACATTTTTTTATATCAGTGAATTCCTAAAAAGATTCGCCCATCCTAATAAAGTATGTATTTTTTATCTTAAAAAATCGCCGATATTTCCATTTGTAACCTTAACTGTGCTACGATGGCCTCTGATAGAACAAGATTGTCATCAGGACCAGCAGGAACAAAGAGAAAAAGAAACAATATTTATGTTCATGTGATGGAATCTCAGAAAACAACTTTCATTACATAATCCAACGTCGTTAAGAATTGCTATTGTTACGTTTTACCATTTGCTAAGAGGCTTTTGAACTGTAAAGTACTGAGTAACTAAATGAAGAACTGTATGAAGTAATTTGTTTCATATTCATAATTATTGAACTGAGTGATTTAAAAAGTTCATTGAAGTTTTAAACATTATTTCACATTCCTGTTTGTTTTTTTTTTTAACAGTGTCCCATATAAAAAAAATTAATGATCTGTCTTCATATTTTCGTACATCTTTTAAGGCAAATTTTTTAGCTTCAATATTGTAAATCATAATCTAAATGTTTTTCTTGGTTGTATAGGTTTATTGGTCAGATAGTATTATATTATTATAAGGAAGTTACAAGCATTATTCTACTTTAGGCGTCTTTTAGTGGCGTATTTTTTTTTCAGGCGTTATGTACTTTTCCGAAAATAGCTTCATTGCATTTTTCATCTCAAACTTTTCAAACTTCTGCTCAATTCCTCTTGGTATCGCCCGGAATCTGCATATCATGATTTTGGTAGTAGATAAATAATGCAAAGAATCTCTTCTCCAAGTATGGCTATATAATATTAGGGCGGAGCATTTCGTAGAGGAGACGTCAAACAATCGCAAGCTATCAATAAAACATTTGGAGGAAATGAATCTATTATCGGTACTCGACTGGATAAAATGACAAATTCTTGCGGTGTATTGCATTGAGAATTAGCTGGCAGATCAAATATTAAATGAGCAAGTGCCCCACATTCTGACATTCAATTTTTGATTTTCCATGCAAACAAAGTACTCAGTTGTCGTCTTCTGTTGAAAAAATATTATACCTCTATAAATACATTTAGTTGAAAAGTAGTGTCACAGGTGGTGAAAAGTCCAGTCTCAACCGGGACTCGATCCCAGGGCGTCTGGCGTACCGTGCCAGTGCTCTAACCCACTAAGCTAAATTGCGAATTGTGGTTTTGATGAAGTGGATTTATTGTCGTTTTGTTATCCTTGCTTCTTGTGGAAATCGTATGCTTGTGATCGTTCATTCACCTTAGTTTTCCCAAAATTATGAAGTTTTATGAAATATGCTGTATCTACGTAACACGTCAAAACTAACGAAAATACACGAAAACAGAATTGAATTTGTTACAGCAATAAATACATCAATTGCTTTCTTTCCCATCTCAGAGCATAAATGGCATTTCAAATCATGAATTTCATCTAAGCATTGCTTATATAATATACATGTAAAATTACTTTTAAGTTTTTAAATTATGACAAATACTGAAACACTTTCACAAAACCGCTGATACGTTCTACCACCCACAGTTTGTCAGACGAGTCAATGGAGATCCCACGTGGTTTCGTTATCATGTCCTTTGTAAGAATGAAGGAGAGGAATTCACCATCTTGGCTGATAAGGTGTACACTGTTATTGGCGTTGTCTGCGATGAGGATATGACCAAGGCTGTCAGTAGCCACACCAATCGGTTTAAATTCGTCTTTGCTTTCTCTGACTTTTCCATCATATATGAACCGAAAATTACCAGACTTGTTCAGCACGACAACTTTACCATCATTTATACTCCAATCAGAAATACAGATGTCACCGTTGATATTCTCAGAAACAAAGCATGGATTAATCGAAAGCCCCTCTCTGATAAGGTTCATCTCGAACACCTGGATCTTCCTCCCACTGCTGCTGTACCTTTCCACTCTTTTATACATAGTAACAAGGATATCACCTGACCTTGTACAACAAAGTCCTCTTGGTCGATGACCAGTACTCGTAAGTTTTGTTTTCTGTTTATCGAGCGATTGTCGATAGATTGCACTATCCTTATAGTCAGAGTAAATCAGACTTCCGTCTGGCATCACAGCCAGACCAGATGGTTCATGATAAATGGGAATGAAAGTATCTAGCAATGTCCCCAACTTGTCTATCAGTGATATATTACAACCACGTCCACTGATGTAAGCTTTGTCATCAAGACAACTTACGTGATATAACTCCGACCTACCAGTATTTTTTTCGCAAATTTTTCTAGCATATCCCAATACTTTTTTAAAAGGTTGTTTACTGCCTGCAGAACAAGTCGCGTCTGAAAGTTGTAAGCTGATATCGCGTGAAGTTTGAAAGCGTACACGGCCTGTAATGAAATTGCCAAACTGATATTTATTTTGAAATTTGTCGATCAGGCCTACTGTAAATGAAGGCATAACAACATCTATTTTACTAGGCAATTTCAGCTGTTTGAAAGCCTCAGGATTTTGCTTTCGGTACAGTAAAAGGTCGGCAGGGTGAATTGACTCTGTGAGAGTTTCAAATTTTCCAATCAGTCGATCTAGGTTTTCTTCAAAACGCTCAGCATCTGCTTTATATTCAGATATTTCCTTTAAATTTTTTTGCTCATCTTTCTTAGATTCACACAAAGCTTCTTTTAAAATACCTCTGATAAGATCTATAAATTCCTGAGCTTGATTCTTCATTTTATCTCTTACATTCTCGTGATTTGTCTTCATTTCAATTTCCCCATTTTTGAGATAGTTTATTCTTTCTCGGATTTCAGACTTCCATTGTGCTTTCATTTTATACAATTCTTCTATGGTTTCAGCCTTTTGCTTTTCGTAAAGGTCCTGTATCTTCCCAATAGCGTGCTTAACATGCACATCCTGGATGCACTTTTCGCAAACAGGGACTTGACAATCTTCGCAACATGCCTCGTATTCTTTAGATGAATGAATTTCACACATTTTGACCTGATATGTTTGATGAGATCTCTCGCGGAGGCGGATAATGCTGTGTCCTAAGGGAACATTGCTTTTGATATGGAAGATTTTGCAGCGAGGGCACATTTCATCTCTGCATGGAACACAGAGAAAGACAGCAGACGCCTCTTCACAGTATTGGCATCGAATAGCATCAGCGGATTGCAATTGATACATTATAAGGTAATCTAAAAAAAAAGTGAAACAGAAAAAAATACAGTTAATGTTATTAATTCGTTTCTGGTTTGAAAATTATTAAGTAGATATCTTTCATTTTAATCATTTCTAAACAAATTTGGAGAAAAAAATAAATACCCGATAGTTGCCAAGGCCTTTAATATATCTTACTCCCTATTTTCTTCAAATATACTAGTTGTAATGAGTGGCCGCTTCCACTTTTACCTGGGATCTTGTTTAATAACCATGAAGTACTAATTCAAATGGACTAACAATACTTCTGTTTTGACTTTTTGTTTCGCTAAATATCAATCTACTGACAGGATTACTTAATTCATACATTTGAACAATCATAGTCTGATCATGAATTGACATGTATTAAAGGAAAATAATGTATAATTGTATATATGTAAAAAGTCCTTTGTATAACTCTATACACAGGGTTTCCACAATGGGTTTTACCATGGAGGTCGACCATGGTTAATGTATGTGTGTCATGGTTGAACGAGCTGTGCAATGGTCAAAATCGGAAGCCTCCGTGATATTTAATTTTTGTCATTCAGAGTGTTTATCTTTCCATATGTAAAAACACGGAAATTGTTCATTTGATTAATCTTCGAGACATTAAAGATATAAACACTGCACTTTAACTATAAGTAAGATAATCAAAGAATATGAATACCGGTACGTTATAATTTCTTGGATTCTTTTATTTATTTGAATGCGTAATTTGGTTAATATGTGTACATGTTGTTCTGCATCTTTTTGATGCCATCTTATACATGATTGAAATGTTCATTTGTTTTACCTACGTGAACCGGATTGAAGTTGAAACCATTTTGAACAAGCAAATTCAAAGAATTGTGGTCCCCCGCTTTCGGTATCTTTGGGGGCAAGATATCATTTTTAGGGTCAAGGTCAATAGGTCAAAGTTTTTGGTATCCCATGAAAGGTCTTGTCATAAAGAATACATATATTTAAAGTATGATGCCTCAGTTTCCACCGTTTAAAAGTTGTGACCAAGGTAAACGTTTTTAAAAAGTAGTTAAAACTCCAAGGTCAAGGTCAAAGGTCAAAGTTCTTGGCATGCAAGCAAAGTTCTTCTCACAAGGATTACATACGTGAAGTACGAAAGCCCTAGCCCTTACTGTTTTAAAGTTATGGTCAAGGTTAAAGTTTTTTTCAGAAGTATGTATATCTCCAAGGTCGAAGTCCAAAGGTCAAAGTTGTTGGTATCCAATGAAAGGCGTTGCTTCAAAAAATACATGTGTGAAATATAAAAGTCCTTGTATCTACCGTGCAAAAGTTGTGACCAAGGTTATAATTTTTTAAAAAGTAGTTAAAACTCCAAGGTCAAAATTCTTGGTATCCAATGAAAGATCATCTTACAAGAATAAAATATGTGAAGTAGAAAAGCCCTAGCCCTTACAGTTAAAAAATAATGGTCAAGGGTATAGTTTTTTCATAAGTAAGTAAATTTTTAAAGTCAAGGTCAAAAGGTCAAAGTTGTTTGTATTCCTTAAAAGTTCTTCTCACAAAGAATAAATATGTTAAATATGAAAGTCCTAGTACCTACCATTCAAAAGTTATGGCCAAAGTAAAATGTTGGAATTTTTTAATGAAAATAGTTGAAACTCCAAGGTCAAGGTCAAAAGGTCAAAATTTTTTGGTACCCAAAGAGAGGTCTTATTACAAGGAATACACATAGGAAATATGAAAATTATAGCTCCACTAAATCAAAAGTTATGGACAAGGTTAAAGTTTTTGTGACGGACGGACAGACTGACGGACCGACAGACGGACAGACGAATGAGATTTAATGTCCCCTCGCTTTCGCGAAAGCGGGGGACAAAAACTAGTTTTAAACCTTAAACCAAGACCCGAACCAGTTTATGTGCAACAAATTCGCCCTAAGTTACTTTCTGGAAAGGTTCCAGTTAAATTTACCCAGTCCATTTAAAAATATGCACTGAAACTGAAACTGAAATCTTGTTTATCGAAAAATCAGTCAATCGCATATATCACGTTTTTGTTTCAAAAATTTAAATCTCCAAGAGTGTATTATGCTGAATTATTCATATGTATACTACATGTATTTATAGGTGTGATTAGATCTTTTAATGTTGTTCTTATACCCCTGCTTGAGAGGGGGGATTGTAATCGTTATGTCGTATATTTTGGGTTTTCCATAACAAAACATGGAAACTGTCATAACATTCATATGGGAGGCGGGAATGTCATTTATTGAGTTCATTGCTCACAATACCTGTAGTTTTCAATGAAATTACATTTAGGAAGACCATTTAAAGACTTCCTGACTAAAAAGTTTCATTTTGGGGGAATGAAAGATTCTCTTGAAAATGAAAGTACGTGTCCAAAAAAGAAAACTTTGTGCTTAGGGACTTTGACAATCTTTCGTGCGCTTCATGAAATATGCCTACGTGACAAGTCTGTGTGATTCACACACCAATAACTCACACAAAACTAAAAAAAAAAACATTTCTTAATCTTACGGATTTTCCCTTTCATTTTCTCCTGTTTCATGTATTAATTTCTTAACGTTAACGTTAAATAAATATTTCATTGTTTTATACACATACAAAAAATATATTCAAAGAGAGAGGGGGAGAGCTGATTTAGTACTATAGTTATTAAATTAAAAAGTAACTAGTAATTAAAAAAAGAATTTTATTAAAGAACAACAAACTGATATCAAGATTGAATGAAATTAAAAGTCAATTCAATTTCAATACACATGCTATTTTTCATTTACTTTGTCACAGGGTCAATCGAAGCTAAAAATAGAAACATCACGTGACAAAACAAAACATTCACTCGTGGCACTCATTCACACAAACAGCGCTATTAGTATGTTTGATTAACAATGCGCGACGATCAAATATGAATTATAAACAAAAACTAACAACTGTGAGTCTGTGACAACTATATAAATATAGTTCTTTGATATTTGTTATATCATTTTTACGAGGATTGACAGAACAAAATTTGAAGATAATGGGAACAACTTTTTCATAAACATCAACTTATACATTGCATTAGCTATTGCTAACAGAAAATCATTTCCATTTTTTAGAAACATCAATACAAGTCGATATGCATTCAGAATCTATAAATAATAACACAAGTCTTTATGGCTTATGCTTAAATACATGTACTTGATCATGAACCAATCAAAAAGTTTGGAATAAATGAGAAAAATATAGTTTTTTAACTACAACACCGGCTACTATTCCCATCTTTAACGAAACCCACTACTTCAATTCTCATTCCATCGAATCAAATCTTCAGGGTTCCCAAATTTGCGCCTAATAAATTGTTTTTACTAGCAGCAGGAGCAGAAACAATTCCTTACTCTGAAAGAAAATATTATTTCAAATAAGATTCACTTGTAGATTTACTATAAGAATTAGAATAACTTGACAAGTAAAGCTACAGGACCACATAAACATTTGTATCAAAATTCTTAGCTATGTTTGTTATTGCATATGCAGTTGACTTTCTGCAACCATCATATGTCCATGAAAAAGCTTAAGGTGGGGGTATAATAATATCTCAGAAACTCAAAAATAAACTTAATGTATATAATAAACCAGTTTAACGAACAATTAGTTCTAGTTAATCAGCGTTATTAAATCAGCACCATAGGACAAGAGAATGCTAAGAAAGAACGAGGGATCGCAGATTTGAGATTAAGAAAGTTCGGTACAGATGATTTTAATTCGTGCAGATCGGATATATTATTCACACGTCAGCAAAACATTAACAATAGTGTTGTTTTTTTTCACGGGTGTATACTGTAAACCAACTTTTATTCGCGTGCGAGAAAATTTCGATAGGTTCACGAGAGCCTTGTCATCGCGAATATTTCTCGCCCGAACCGGTCCTCAAAGTCTTTTTCTTTTAAAAACAGTTCCAGAAAGACATGATCGCAAAAATTTATCATCACGAACTACTAAACTCCCGGTAAATCGCGAAATAAAGTCGTCGCGAATAAAAGTTGGTTTACAGTATTGTTTTTGTCTTGTATACATTAACAGAATCACAAAAATTGGCATAAGTCCTTTCTGACATATTTTATTTCATTAAAAAATCGCAAAATGGCGACTTTCATAAAAAGGAATCAACATTTCAGAATCAAAGTCTTAAAATTTTTAATGCACTTTGAAACGTCTGTTTAGCTGTTTTTCTGTCTGTCTCTTGTCAACTTTAAACTAGCCTATAACTATTGAGTAGGTGGGGCTATTAGTTTCATGTTTCACTGATGTATTCTTGTGACAAGTGCTCTCATTTGGTACCACCAAAATTTGACCTCTTGGCTTTGACCTTGGAGTTTAACCTACTTTTACAAAAAAAAATATACCACACTTTCACCTTGGCCATAACTTTTGAAGAGTTTGATCTAGGACTTTCATTAAATTCACTGTGACAAGACCTTTAAACTGATACAAATACTTTTTACCTAGAGTTGAACCCACTTTTTAAAAATCTTAGAAATAGTAATAGAAATGTGCCCGTATGGCAGCTTATGGTGAGAGTTGATTTTTCTCAGATGCAAGTCAAATCCAAAGGTCAAGGTCAAAAGACTCAAACTGTTTAAAAGTTATGGTCAGGTTAATGTGTTGTTTTTTTTTTGTAAAAGTAGACCAAAATCCAATGTAAAGGTCAAGAGGTCAAATTTGTTGGTGCCCAAAGAAGGTTTTGTCACAAGGAGTTCAATTGTGAAACATGAAAGCTATAGGCCCACCAAGTCAAATGTTATTGGCAAGGTTAGAGCGTTAGCGGAAAAAAAGACAGCTAGACAGACAGACGAATGGATAGGACAAAAAACTATTTATCCCGAAACGTAGTTTACGGGGGCATAAAAATTCCGAGTGTTTTAGTTTTTTCCTTTAGCGACAATTTTAGCACGACTTTCTGGGTCGTTCCAGTCAAGGAAAAAAGAAGAGTCTAGTATATTTCAGGAATCACAATTTAGTTAG